AGTGCTCCATGGTATATATAGACCACATTTTATTAATCCACTCATGGATTGATGGACACCTGGGTTGCTTCCACAGCTTTGAGTAGTGCTCCATGGTATATATAGACCACATTTTATTAATCCACTCATGCATGGACGGGCACTTGGGTTGTTTCCACGTCTTTGCTCTTGATACTCCTAGCAGGTGGCACACGCAACGCATTCCCGTGTGAGTCTGGGTAGAAGCGTCGCCCTGGCGATGTCCTCTGGGCCGCGTTTCCAAGGCAGATGGAAATGGAATTGGACCTGCAAAATGGCCCAGGGAGGAAAAGAGCCAAGTCACAGGTCGGGACGGACACAAAACGAATCAGCGTTAGCTGGGGTCGAGAAGAAAATAACAGGGCTCTACGTTCTTTACGAGGGGCAGCAGACTCACTGGAGCTGATGTCCCAAAGCTGATATTCCTGGGGGCCTGTCCAGGAGCTGTTGACCACAGGGATGAGAAGCAAACTTAGCCCGGGAAGGGAGGAATGCTGGGAAGTCATAAAAGCAATCAGCTGGTGTGGGCGTGCGTGCATAATGAACCTTAGTGCTTGGAACACTTCCAGGAATTAAATCTAGTTTTTTTTTTTTTTTTTTTTTTTTTATCTAAAAGGACGGTCAGGATGCAGGGGAAAGGCCCAATTAAAAGGGAGGAGATAGGCCGCTGCCTGCTCCACGGCTGCTTGCTGGTCATGCTGGCAGGCCTGGCAGAGATCGGGCTCTTGCAACCTTCTGCGGGGCCCCCAACCTGAATTCTACGACGACGTCGTTGTGCGCCATTGCCTTCTTCAGAGTTTCCTCCATCCCATTTAAGGAAGTTTATACACCATCGCAAATCTCAGATAGAAACTTCCCTTTCTATTTAATCCACTCCTTGATCTTCAGATAACTCGCACAGCATATTCGCCCGTTAAATTTCCCACTTACCTAGAAACCCTTCGCTTGTTTACAGTGGAGTTCTATTTTTTTTTTTTTTTGAGACAGAGTCTCACTCTGTTGCTGGGCTAGACGCTGGGAAGTGCCGTGCCGTCAGCCTCGCTCACAGCCAACCTCACACTCCTGGGCTCAAGCAATCCTCCTGCCTCAGCCTCCCAAGTAACTGGGACTACAGGCATCCACCACCATGCCCGGCTAATATTTTCTATATATTTTTAGTTGGTCAATTAATTCCTTTCTATTTTTAGTAGAGACGGGGTCTTATTCAGGCTGGTTTCGAACTCCTGACCTTGAGTGAGTGATCCTCCCACCTCAGCCTCCCAGAGTGCTAGGATGACAGGCGTGAGCCACCGCACACGGCCTATGTTGAGTCTTAAGATCAACTTTACCAAGCATTCTTTGACTCCTACCTTTGTGTTGGCTAAGCGTTCATAATCTATTTTAGCATTTCAGGACTCCAGGAAACTGTGGTTTGTGGGCCGGGCCCAGTGGCTCATGCCTGTAATCCTAGCAGTCTGGGAGGTCGACCCCAGAGGATCGCTTGAGGTCCTGAAATGGACCCAGAATGGACGTGGGGCGTCCACCCGCCATGTATACACGACCGACTGCGTCCCCGAGTCTTGGTTCTTGAGCCCAGAGGCTGAAGGGCAGAAGAGAAATGGCTGCAGCCAATGTGTCCCCTTGTGGTGTCCTGAGGTCTTAAGGCCACTTAAATCCTTTAAAGGCCCTGGTTCCTGCCGTTTTTAGGCTTCTGGATTTGTAGGCTTCCCTTTGGGGCTGTGAGCCCCACCATGCCCTTACAACCATTTCCCTTTCTCCTGCAGCCAGCCGGAGTGGGGCTCTGTCGTGTATAATCCAACCGCCTCAGTTGATACCGTGTTTCCTTAAAAATAAGACAGGGTCTTTCTTCTATTTATTTTTCCTTGAGAAGACACCCGAGGGCTTATTTTCAGGGGATGTGTTATTGTTTTTAAGTGCAGTACAACCATCTGCATTTATTCCAATAGAGTGAAGTCGTCTTCTTCTGAAACATATCCTCATCTCCAGACCCCGAATCCCACCCTGAATGTCTTGCGATCTGTTTTCCTTTAAGTCACCGGCCGGATTCTATCCTGTCGAGCACTAGAGCTCTCACGGCGGATGAGAAGGGCTGCTCGTGTTCTTTCCCGCTCCGCGACGAACGCATGGTTGTGCATGATGCGCTGCGCAGCAACGCCGTCACTAGGGCTGATTTTCATAGCCACGCCCCTCACAGGGCTGATTTTCATACAACCGTCCACAACAGGGCTGTTTCATAGACGCCCCTCACTAGGGCTGATTTTCATATGCCATGCCCTCACAGGGCTGATTTTAATAAGCCCACGCCCACCACTAGGGCTGTTTTCTAGCCACGCCCCATAGCTGATTTTCATAGCCATGCCCTCACTAGGCTGATTTTCATAGCCACGCCACCATAGTGATTTTCATAGCACGCGCCACCACTAGGGCTGATTTTCATAGCCACGCCCCTACTAGGGCTGATTTTTATAGCCACGCCAAAACGGGGGCTGTTTCATGCCACGCCCACCACCAGGCTGATTTTCATAGCACACCCATCACTAGGGCTGATTTTCATGCCACACCACCACCAGGGCTGATTTCATAGCACACCATCACCAGGGCTGATTTCATAGCCACGCCCACACCAGTACTGATTCATAGCTACGCCCTCACTAGGCTGATCGTATAGCCACGCCCCCCACCAGGGTGATTTGCATAGCCACGCCCGTCACTAGGACTGATTTTCATAGCCACACCATCACTAGGACTGATTTTGGGGGTAGGGATTCTATTGCGCACGGTGCTTAGCATCCTGCTGGGCCTTATATGGGAGGTTTATTTTCGGGTAACAGGTGTCCATGTATGAACACGTTCTTTTTTTGGTTGCAATTGGCAGTCTCAATTCTTTCTGAGTAAATACATCAGCCCAGGTATATGTGCAGGGTCGTTGCTATTCACTGTTGTGAGTTGCACTGTGGATTCCAGTTCTAGAATCAAAGCCAAGACATCCTGGGATGCATCTAACCCAAAACTCTTTTTTTTTTTTTTTCTAAGATGGAAGAATTCTGGCCAGCACAGGAGAACAGCTGAGCTCATTCATCTTGTCAGGCTCAGCTATTTTTTTTTTTAAATTAACATGATGGGAGTTATTCTAAAAGAGTCATGCAATAACAAGTACATCCTTTTAAACAGCATAGCATATCCTTGGTGGAAAAACATGGTATATAAAGAACCTAAAAAAATTTAAGTAACATGGGTTTAAATTGTCCTGTATTACCTGTCTGATGGAGCATTTGTAGCTTGTGAAAATCACAAACATTTATAGAAAGTTTCTTTCTTTCTTCTTCTTCTTTCTTTCTCTTTCCTTTCTTTCTTTTTTTTTTTTGAGGACAGGTCTCACTCTGTTGCCATGGTAGGAGTGAGTGCCGTGGCGTCAGCCTCGCTCACAGCCAACCTTTTTCCAACTCCTGGGCTCAAGCGATCCTCCTGCCTCAGCCTCCGAGTGCTGGACTACAGGCATGCGCCACCTACGCCCGGCTAATTTTTTTCTATATAATTTCAATTATATGTGATATATTTACATAATTTCATAACATATATTTCATATTATATATACATATACTATCTCATTGTCAGGTAAATTCTTTCTATTTTAGTAGAGACGGGTCCGCTCTTGCTCAGCTGGTCTCGGAGACTCCTGACCTCACGATCTCCCGCCTCGGCTCCCAGAGTGCTAGGATGACAGGGTGAGCCTCCGTGCCTGGACCTATAGAAATCTTGATAAGGAAATCATTATTCAGTAGGAAGCTTTTTTTTTTTTTTTAATTTCTGTGAGAAGGCCTTTGGGTTTTTAATGCAGCATTTGATCTCTTTTTTTTGTGTTTGTTTTTTTTTTTTTTTTAATTTAAACTACTACAGGCCTGCCATCAAAGCTTCCTGAATTTACCTTTGCCAAGGTCCAGCACAATCTCATGTACTTGAATTTCAAATGCCACATCTCCCACGAAAACCTCCGAGCTCAATGTCTGCAGGTTCTCTTATAGTCGTGGCCCCAAGACTTTGCAGAAATTTTAAGGAGCCACTAACAGAACCTTGCACTTGGCCATACATTGTAGCAGCTGTTTCTGCACCAGCTGTTAGTGCAACTGGTTTCCCTGGTCATGCATTATTTGTTTTATTATTTTAGGGGTAGCTATATGCCTCTAG